GGCATTAAAGTGGTCTCAAACTGGATTATTTCTGCTGTGTGTTTTGGACATTAAGGTGTTTTCTTCCACACTCTTCCTGGTGCCTTCTGCTTTATTTCTGATATTTTGGGCCATTGCACTACAGACCTCATAAGAACACTAACAGAGTGTTTCTCACGTAACAGAGGCCAGAAGTTAGTTTTAAAGGTTACTATTGTTGTTCCAATGACACTCTGTACTTTGCCCAGAAACTAATGGGCAGCCAATGGAGAGATTTTAAGATTGGTGTAATGTGATCCTTCCTGGATGTACCCGTAATAAACCTGGCTGCCATATTTTGAACCAGTTGGACTTTCCAGACTTGATACAAAGGTAGCCCAATGTAGAGCGCATCGCAGAAATCCAGCCTTGAGGTTACCAGCGCATGCCCTACCACCTTTAGTCACAGAGACCATGAAGAAGAAAAGCAGGTTGCTTACCTGTAACTGTGGTTCTTCAAGTGGTCATGTGTGAACTCACACAACCCATCCTTCTCCTCTCTATTGCTATACTGGACTTCCTTGGTTGTGAGCTGCTCTCATGGACATGGAACTTAGGTTTGTGTGGAAACAGTACTGAGCATAGGTGGTATAGGGGAGAGTGGGTTCTCAGCCAAAGAGATCTAGCTCAAGAAGTTTCTGAAGATGGTCTGTGCAGGCACAAAGGAGATTATCACACCAGGGCCAATTCCACAACCATCAAGCTATTGGAAGATAACGGAAGCAGAGCGCTGTAGCAATCTGTAGTTCTGCATACTCGTGCAATCGAGCTATAACAATGAAATAAAAATGAAACAAAAACACAGTCACATTTTGCATACAAAAGCCAATTGTGTTGCTGTATTGTTAGTATATCATCATCAGATGTTTTGTGCATGCATGATTATCGGGCTATTGCGCATGTCTGAAAAATATGATTCTGTCCCAATCAGAACAAAATAAAATTTCTATATTTAACAACATGATATATATCTAGTTCAAATAAAATAGTGCCCTATACCTGAAAATGAGACAGAAATCCATTCTGAAAATGATCCTAGCAATGAGAGCAAATTGCCTGTGCCAAAGTGAAGTCTGGGAAAAGCTCCCCGATAGCGTGAATGGGGTTTCCTGATTAAGAAGTTATGAGACCATTCCAGGTTATTCACAGGAGAAGTACTGGATGAGCATGATGTAATGTGAAAATCTTCATGCGATCGTGCTATAATATCGGGAGCATTCTGTTTTTCTCCCAAGATTCCCATGTATGAGTTCACAGGTGACCATTCAAAGAATTACAGTTATAGGTAAGCAATCTGCATTTCACTAACAATTGTTAATCAAGAAAACACATGTATCTGTTTTGCAGCTCTATAATCACAGATTTCCTATCTGCTCTCAACTAAGGATCACGTGCTTTGGTTTGAGTGCTATTAAGGAAAAGCAGAATTAAACATGCAATTGCAAATAGCCCAGCCTTTCTCATTTTGATCCAAAGCCATTTGAAATATCCAACCATTTATGATTCCTTAATTCTAATTATTGCATTCATACCAATAAGCTTGTCTTCAGCCTACTCTCCCAAAAATAGTTTCCGAAGAAGTAATCAGGTCAATGGGTCAAGGGACCTGATTTTTATGGCCAATATTGCTCACAGACACCATTGTGTCATTTAGTCCACAACAATCAGCCATAAGTTGCTGTCATTCTTTTTGGTAAACACAAAAAGAGATGTGAGACATCTTTAAGGCTAACAAAAGTATTTTGGGATAAGCTTTTGTAAACTATAGCCTATGTCACTAGACATTTAGATCTTTAAAGTACCCAAGTCTTTTATTTTACTTCCAGAGACAGACTAAAAGGTCTCCAAAACTCTTTTCTACTTCATGTCTTTCCAGTTAGTATTATCTGGCCCTGACAGCGCAATCCTGTGCCTCATATTTACTCAGAGCAAGCTCCAGCCTATGCCATTTTCCTCCAAGTAAGTGTGTTTAAGATTGCAGCCTTATAGACAAGTAAGTTCCATTGAACTCTATAAGACTTTTGGTTAGAGACATGAAATAATACCTTGTGTTTTTTAAAAAAATTAATGACAGATTGTCAACGTCTAAGAATAAGAACCAGTAGTAATGAAAAACATCATTCTGCATCTTGCATTTAATTAAATTTCTGTCATGGCACCTTAAAAAGCAGTAATCATATTATTCTGTGACATATATGCAGGGATATCCCATTGGCCATGAAGCAAAATATGGCAAAATTAAATTTAAAAAGCCATTGTGGTGATACCTCTATTAAGGCAACCAAAATTTGCAAAATATATTAGCAAGCCTTTGAAGCTCACAATTTTCTTCTTCATACATTTTTTGGTGTGGCTTTTGCAATATTTGGGGTGAGACAAGGTGGGGGAGAAAGCCTGGCAATTCATGGTGTAAAGAGAGTTTCTTCTAGACTGTAGATTATTTCTGTACTGTAGAAATGATGCAGTTTGGCGCTACTTTAACTGCCATGGCTCCATCCTAAAGAATCCTGGGATTTGTAATTTTGTGAGGCACAAGCACTTTGGCAGAGACGGCTAAAGACCTTTACAACTACAAATACCAGGATTTAATAGGATGGAGGTATAGCACTAAAAGTGCTGTGAAACTGCATTATGCCTCCATGTTAAGGGAATTCTGAGATTTGTAGTTTGTTGTGGCACCAGAAAAGGCTAAATGTCCCACAAAACTACAAACCCCAGGATTCCTTAGCATGGAGCCAGGGCAGTTAAAGCAGTGTCAAACTAGATTATTTCTGCAGAGTGGATGAGGGCACAGGAGAAACCAAGGTGGCTTCATCCACACTGAAGAAATAAATCCCTTTTGACGCCACTTTAGCTGCCCTGGCTCAGTGCTAGGGAATCCTAGGAACTGTAGTTTGTTGTGGCACCAGAGCTCTCTGACAGACAAGGCTAAATGCCACACCAAACTACAATCCCCAGGATTCCTTAGCAGTTTCACACTGCTTTAATTCCCATGGCCCCATGTGAAGGGACCTTGGGGCTTGTAGTTTTGTGGGATATTTAGCCTTCTCTGTCAGAAAGCTCTGGTGCCACAACTACACATTCCAGGACTCCATAGCATGGGGCCATGGCAGTTAAAGTGTTGTGAAACTGTATTATTTCTGCAGCGTGAATGCAGCCGCAGTCAGCGTGAGATAAAGGCTGCATCCATACTGCAAAAATAATCCAGTTTCACACCACTTTAACTGCCATGGCTCCATACTATGAAATCCTAGGATATGTAGTTTGTTGTGGCACAAAAGTGCTCTGAAAGAGAAGTCTCACACAAACAACAAATCCCAGGATTTTATAGCACGGAGCCATGGCAGTTAAAATGGTGCTAAACTGGATTATTTCTGCTGTGTGGATGCATGTTGGGTTGCTTTAGGCAGCTATCTTGGTTTCTCCTGGGGCCCCATCCACACTGCAGATCCAGTTTGACACCTCTTGAGTTGCCATGGCTCCATGCTAAGGAATCCTGGGGTTTGTAGTTTTGTG